CATCAGCAGAAGCTTGAGACTAGTTTCATTAGTCAAGAACAGTATGACAAAGTAGAGAGTGTGAATTAGATATTGTATGATCTGAAGAAGATTTGCCCTCACAACATTTAGATCACTGTCTTAAAGTCTTAAGCTCAGAGAGTTGATGATCAACTAATCTAAGCTCCTTGCAGTAATTCTCATATAGAGATGATTTCCTTATACCTGTCATGCCTTCCCTCAGCTTCATGCTTAGAGTGAATTTCAAATATCTCTTTTTAATGTGATCATCTCATCTGTGATCATCAGCTTCCAGCAGTAGCTGATTAAATTTGAGCAGAAAGTCAAAGAGAGCTCTTTTACTCTGTCATAAATTGTTGAACTTTTGCATAGTCTTTTTCTGTTGTGCAGAATCACTAAAGAGCATGTGTGTCTGCTTCAGTAAGCTCTCTACTGTGAAGTTGATCTTGTTCTTATTATTCTCAACTCAGAGGTAAACTTGAGCTGCTGCTATTTCTTTCAGTCTTAAATACACATACTAAGCACATTTCTCATTATTATCTAAAGCTTTCTCATCAATCTTAAGTTTTGATTGAAGCTTTAGCTCTCACTGAGGGTAGTACTTCAGATTAGAATCATCATACTTCTTGCAGTCTGATAACTTGGTCTTTGGTCTTCTGACTGTAATGAGTGGTTGTGGGTTCAATTGAGAGAGGATTGATGTCAGGATATTCAAAGCTTATCATAGATTAGCTATTTCAGCTTGCTGAGCTGCTATTAAATCTCTGTTCTCATGCTGAACCTGTTCCTGCTGTTGAAGAAAGACCATTCATTGTTGTTTGAAGCTATTAAGAGTGTCCCTGCTCATTGCTTTGTGTTGATTCATTTGTGTATTTGTTGTACAAGTCTGTCACTTTATCTCATTCAGCTAGATGTTTTCAATGTTGCTCATTCATTTGTTAGCATGATTGCTAACCTAGTCTATTCATATACCAGTACTATCACTGAACTTTATGATGCAGGATTTAAGGCTCTCAATAGTCTATCATATGTCAGCATGTTTGCTGAGCTTCATGATACAGGATTAAGGCTCTCAGTGATCTATCAATGAAAGAAGTGAAGCAATTTGTAATGTAAAGAGTTAAGCTCTAAGAACTAGAGGCTAGTCCTCCTATATAACAAGGACGAATTGCTTGAGAAAGGGAAGAAAAGAATGAGATGAGAACACAAGCTTAAGCAGGCTCACGTAGCATGATCATGTGCGCACGTGCAATGATGGCTAGGCTGAGTCAGCCAGCCAGAGCAAATCTAGGGGTTCAACCCCTTATAGCAATAATTTACACAGAATCTCAGTTTATCTGCTATATGAGTTATAAAAATTAAAGATATGAAGAACAAAGTAACTTATAAAATAAATCTCTTTTCTAGATTAATCTCAAGATACTATTTAACTATCTCAAACTTCTTCAAACTCATTTAATATAATAATATATAGTCAATAGTTTTATTTAAATTAGCTTTTTTCTTAAGTTTAATTTTATAATTTACTCTTTTTTGAAAAAGTGATAATTGATTAAAAACAGCTTTTAAGAAAAAATCTCAAAATTTTTTATAGTTCTCTAATAACTGTTTATTAAGTAGCTCTTTATTCTTCAGTTTTGCTTCAACAATGATCTTCTTTTTCTCAATAATTTTATTTATCTCACAGAGACTTGAAATGAAGATCTTTGACTTCTTATTTTTCTTATAATAATAAAAGACAATATCTTCAATAAATATTATCTTTTATTACTTATTTTTTTTAATCAACTTTATACTTAAATTTTTTATCAATAAGTTTATTATGATAATCTGTATTCTGTTAGTTTTTTAACTTTATTATTAATTTTTTTAAAAATTTTCTTGAAATTACTATACTGTATCTCTTTGATATTTTATCTGCTGATATTAATATATTTAATCAAACTAGATATTAATTTTTTATATCTAGTCGTATCTCTTACTTTGTAAATTAAATTTATTCAAGAATTATGTTCATACTTCCCAGGTCTATCATCAGTATTGATGTATTTAAAAATCTTCTTTTATCTATTAATAAATATAAAGAGATGACTTTTATGATTGAAGTCTTTCTCTGATTATTAAAGCTTACAATTTGATGATTTTTCTTTAAATCTTCAAAGCTTGCTCTTAATGCTTTGATGTACTTTTGTGTAAAACTTGAGTCAATAAGAATATAGCAATATACTTCAAAATCTACTAGTAATCTTGTAGAAATAACATATTTATTGAAAGTTAATTTAATATATATAATAAAGTATCTTTCACTTATCAGCTTGTTCATGTTTAAAGTCTCTAATATAATTATTTTATTTGAGAAGAAAATTTTTTTCTGACTTAATTTTTTTCTAACTTGATGATTATAGCCTCAGTATTCACTTTCTTTAATTTAATTTCTTACTTGTATAAGTAATTCTATACTATATAACTTTTACTTTGATAGTTAAAGGATTTTATATTCTTTTACTAATTCTCAGTTGTTTGCACTGATGTGAGTGAAGTTGATTCATAATTACTCAGTCTTACAGAAATACTTTCACAATTGACTCAAATTATAGAAGTTTTTTTACAGTTGAGCAGTTATCAGTTATTTTAATTAAATATACTCTTGAGATAGTAAGTGATTCAGATGCAAATCTATTAAATTTTATGAAAAATACTATAACTAATACAGACTGCTATGATCATATATTGAAAATCAAAAAATAGTTTATAAAAAAAGTCTATTTTATAATCTTTTCTTTGAATCTGAGCTTCATCAGTCAGATATAAAAATTTAATTATAAAGATATGATAATTATTTTTATTTTTTATTATTAATTATTAATATTTTATCTTTAAATTTTTAAACTTATTAATATTTTTATATATTTTTTGCAAATTCTCAAAAATTTTAATAATTTCAAACTTTTCAAAATAATTTTCTTTTATTTTAGAAGTTAGATATCTTGTTATTTTATCATCTGTTCAATTTTCTATATATATAATTTAGTTTTTTTCAGTTGAAAAGTGGTCAGCATTAACAGTTAGCTTATATTTTATTCATAAGAATCAGTTTTTAAATATCAGTTCTTTTTTATTGATGAGATGCTTTAAATCACCAAGCTTGATTGATTACTGTATCTGTTAAATATTTATTAGTCTGATTTATGAAGTTAAAAAATACACTGTCTGCTATAAGATATTTTATTTCTCTATCAAGTTGTTTACTTGCTGATTAAGTTTATTCACTTGCTTTCTCTACTTATTTTATTCTGTTTTAATCTAATCTATAATTCCTCTTGTATTATTCATGAGATCAGCAATCTTTTGATATATTCACTTCAGATTCTCTTTAATTGTTTTCAAAAATATTTTCTTTGATAAAAGCTTTCTTGATATTATATTTCTTTTTATCGAAATTATCATATCTCAGTCTGATATTTATAAACTATCAGATTCTTTAACTGCTGCTGATATCTTGGCAGTATTCTTAGAGATTTAAAACACAAGTAAATAAAGATTCTTGGAGATTTTTTATATAAAAAACTTGCTTTAAAAAGAGTAAGAAAGTTATCAATTTTAATATTATATCAAGATTTTAATCTAGACACAGATGAAACAGATATTTAATTATCAGCTAACTAAACTATCTAAATAAAATATAAAAATAATTTCTAAAAGATGAGTTTAGAGAAGACTATATTTATATAGTTTTTTTTCTTAGTATTATTATCTCTTTTCTTAATATCATTACTAGACGATTCTTTTGTATGTGGGGTAATTGTACGGTTGATTGCTCTGCTCATGTCTAGACAGTTGTGATTACTGATTGCCTCAGTCTATAACCTTATACTATCAATAAAGCTGAATGAAACTTGTTCTATGTCATTATACTCACTATATTATTTATATTTATATCAAGTAGTTTTATTAACTGCTTTTGTATGATAATACTTATATTGTTAAAAAATTAATTATCAAAAAATTGCAGTAGATAATTTGTATGAGATGAGAATTCAAATATAATGTTACTAATATAACAATTATACTAATTTAAAACAGATTCATAGAAATTAAATCAGTTGATAACAAAGTTTATATTCTTATTTGATATTTATTTTGAAATCATAGATTTCTACTTGATTCTCTTATAATTTGACAGATATTTAATGAATTGATACATCTATATCTTGCTCACAGTAAATGAAAAAATATTAAAATTAATATAATAACAACTTAATTTTCAATTCACAGCAGCTTTAATATATTCAACTGTAGAAGAGCAAAAAATTTTATTCAATTGATGAATTCACTTCTTGATCACTTTTCTCTTGACTGTCACTCAACATTCAATTGATTGAAACTCCTATATTTTTTGATCTCTTCTATTAATATATTCATATAGAGTTTCATATAGAATTTTGAATTCTCACACCACATTTATAATTTTTAAATTTGATTTTGATTTTATAATGTCTAATGCCATCTGAATCTGATCTTCCGAATATATTATTAGGCATGGTGGTGGTGGTTATTAATTCTTGAAGATTGGGTGATGAATACAAGAAAGAGATTTTTATTATGGTGATATTTTCTTTACAGTGGGGCGCACTCACCATTAGGTGAGTGCGGGTGGCACGGTTAGTCGACACTTTGATGTTTTGACGTCAATCCAAAGACCACTTATGCACGTGACCCCAACCTATTGTCGTTAGACTGCTGTAGCCTGCCTCGAATACTATCCGCTCTATCACTTTTTACTGTCTTGCGACTTTTCACCATCTTTTTTGGCTGTGCACATTCCAGCATTGGATTCTATATCAGTAAGTATGTTTTCTTCTGAAGCATAAACAGGATTGAAAAAGGTCGCTAGTCTTCGCAACTGTGGGTCTTTCAAACTCCATACTAATGTTTACCCTTCAACCTAGTCCTACAGCACCTTGTTCCTAACCGACCCACTCGCGCGTCTATTCTTCGAAATGGCGGAGCTTCCCAGACGGAGGCGGAAGGTAGTTGATGGCCTAGATAAGATCCCATCCACTGAGCAGGAGTTACTTGAAATGGTCACAACGTATAGGTTGGTCAATGCCAAACTCCAGACTTGTGCTCCTATGGTAGGCCCCTCAAGTACTTCAACAGAAGTTAGCAGCAATTCCCTAACTTATTTCTCCGGGATAAGGTTATTTCTCTGCGTCAACAGTGCCTAAAGCAGCCTTCCTCACTGCCTGATGCATTTGGCCAGAAGTGATGGCTGTTGGATTACCATATATTCTCAGGACGGGGTCGTACTTAAGTGAAGAACATGTTGCCCAGGCTACAATGCTTATCAATAGGAAACTTCTCGGACTTGACAAGTTAGACACTCTGTTTGATGTCATCTGTTCCCAGACAAAGACACCTTGTGAATGGTTATGCACGCTTGCAGATGGACTAGGCCCATTCTCAATGCTTGTTAGTTTAAAAAAGGCAAATTCTGGACAAAGGACTGCATACTGCTCCAAGAGAAGAGCCTCTTTCTATAACTTACGCGCCAAGAAAAAAGGGACATTACAACGCTTCTCAAAGTTCATCGGGCCAAATGCCTGATTCTCCGGCCCCCAGGTACCCTAAGCGCTTGCGCCTAGGGGATTTTGATGCCATGGATGACCATTTGGCTCCAAGCGAGCCTTCTACTCCGTCTAACATTGAACTTCCAGAGGAAATCTTAGACGAAATTCCAGATGACATCCCGGACCCACGGACTCCTACTGAGACTCTAATGGTCGATTTTATGGCCACTCTTCTAGGGGGTTTAGCATGCCTCTTACAGCCCTTTGCTTACCGGACTGTTTGCGTGGCTAATGCCTTTGAGACAACCTATCAATTTGGCCCACTTCCGAATGGTCCGATCGCTTCAAATCATGTACAGTTCCGAGCACGTATAGACGGGAGCATCCCCTTCAGCCTGCCTCCGGACAAAAATCTTCCTGAAATGGTGATATTCGAAGCCAAGCGTGCCCATCGTGAAACTGGCCAAGGCGTTACTGTCGTGGGGCAGCAGTCAATGGAGCATGTTGCATATATCTGGAAATGACACAAAAATGATCAATTGGTGAATTTTCTCTCCCTCCCGTTTCCCTCAAGGGAAGTTTTAACGGCTATACCTCTGTGTAGCCGAGGAACCCCGGAGCTTACCATACTTTTATGATTGCACAAGATTTCCTGTCCTTCTACATTAGCGTTGGGACTTACGACAAAGAGCACCTTGACTACATTTTTAGCCCTGGCGATCAGCTAGCTGTATTGCTTCGACAATTCAATGTCGTTTCAGAATGCTGAAACAACCCCGAAAGGGAACCAAATTCAGAACCACAGATAAGACAGAAGAATGGAAATTCATCGTTCACGTTTTCTGGGTTTTTGGGGCTTTGGCAGCATTTGAAAGCGAGCTCGTCAACATAATCGATATCCACGCCGGAGGCGCAAGTGCCCGACTCCAAGTGAAGCAACATTTCTGAAAATGAGGCAAATGTATAGTCGCATCCGAAACACTCCAGGTTCCTAGGCTCATGGCTCCGTTTGTGCTGTTTTAAGCTCATCAGTAAGTCACTTCCATCGATGATTTTGAGGTGAGATGTCACACGGACCATCCCTTAAGTTATTTTCATTGTCGAGAAAACCACCGCACATGGAGCACATGTTGTGTTGTGTTTGGAGATGTCGTTGTAACTCATCTGAAGTGAGAAAGTCCGGGTGAACTCTGCACACTTTGAACAAAATGTGATGGGAATTAGAATCCTGTAGATGAGCTTTCTTCTGTTCTTCAGATCAAAACACCCGCTGACATCTTTCACACCACGTATGACGCTTGCTCATTCTGTAATGATTTATGAGGCCACCTCGCGTCCCGAAGTCCTTTACGCAAACTGCACACTCGTAGCTATCCTCACTGTGTTGAACATGTCGTGCCATGTTTCGAGCTGGCGCGTACACTGAGGCAGGGTTCTGAATTCATGTCTCCAGATCGGGACCAGGGTTGCTCTGTTCAAAGGAAGGGCACTGCGCCAGGAATGAAGCAAGAGAAGTCTCAGTGATTTCCATGACAGTTGAGAGAATACATGCTGTATTTATCACTAACCCGCACCAGGAGGATAGACTTGTCGGTTTGGTGACATGTCACATATTCATGCAGAGTGGTACGACAAGGCTGGGCCTCTTTCACATCCTGTGAGCTTCTGCTGCTGTGTAATGTCGCCAAGAGAGTCTGCTATCCCCTCCCCTCTCTGCCTAAATGCAAAAGGTGCCCATGTTAGCAACCCTACTTGCCAACATTGATCGAGTAGAAAACACAGTAGAACTACAAGCTTATGCACCTACTCTCTTGCGCAAATTAGCCGATCTCAGATAGTTTGTGAAACTTGGGGACTTGAGAACTCTCACTCGAATCGAGGAACTTCATGTGTCTAGAAATATCTCAAGCCGAGCTTAAGAGAATTTTATTCACACAAACCTCCTGTAAGTGTTTTTCTCAGGAACCTGGCTGAAATACAAACGAATTTGGCGAATCCGGCGATCTGGCGATCTATCTGGTACGGACCCACATATAGTTTAATTCAATCAAATTGTAAGAGAGGTAAGTCTCCAATTGTTTTGAATACGTGCAAAAGTATCTAAATGTATTCCTTGTTGATTCATAAAAAATTGTCGACTCTCCCGAAAGGTAATCAAAAAACACCTGTGCTGTAACTATGGAAACAAAAGGCCCTTCACAAGAAAACCAGGACAAAAAGAACCAGACAGCCACCCAAATCACAAAAAGTAAAGGTCCACAAAGCACTAACCATGTGGGGCAGATGTGAAAAGCGGGAGACTACAAGATACCCGCTTTTTCGGCCCCGGCGATCAAGAGCATACCTCAAATGGGGGTCATTTTACCATCACTAATGGGGAGTTAGTTGCCGCGATTTATACGGTACATCGGGAAGAGGGGCTGCCTGCCTAATCCTGATTTGAGTATATATCACGTGATATGAGATTCCCCGTCTTGCCTGCTTGTTACCGCCATTGACGAGCTATAGAGGCACAACCTGTAGTACACTATGCAGTCTGCGTATACAGTTATAGTTACCGCACAAATTCCTCGATGCAGACAAACACACCCCCACACGGATTGTCCGCTCCTTTTTCATTATGCCCTTCTCATGCATGAAGTTAACAGCCACCTGGATTTGCTCCCCCGTTTGATTCCTGTGGATTCTCCAAGGACAACCTAGGGCTAGCCTACGCCCTGAAGGGGTTCGGTTTTTTGGTACATTGCCAAAGTTGGTCTGTGGAGCTAGTTATATGTAACTAGATCTCGCCCTTGCAATGGTTAACTACGCAGCAAGCTATCCTTGGCTGCGGGGGTCAAGTTGGTAACTCTGTAACTAGTTGACTATCAACGACGGATGATCGATGCCTCTCGTTTCGCAGATCCGTAATGATCGCCATCTAGTTGGTTGAGGCCCCCCATCCGGATTCCATTGCATGTTCCCATGTTCCCATGTTCTATGGTCCATGGTCCTGAAACCGGCCGTAGAACTCCAGGGGAGAAAGTGAAACATCGAATCAAGGATCCTCAGGAATGCGTTGGAGATGAAAGTGCATTCGAAATTATTGGCTGTGCTCTTGTTTGCCGTGGTTGATGGGTCGCCGCAGACCCTGTAATTCGATAACTATTGTCGACCGTGGGACATGTAAATTATATATTGCAATAAAAAATCATCGATAAGCTCAACTTAAACAACAAACCAACCGAACTATGGACAACTTCGACATGAATGAGGACCAACAACAGCATCTCGTTTCAAATACTCAAGTGACCGTTTAAGAATAATAAGAAACGCCATAAAAATCCGTGAATAAAAACCCCCAACTGCTTAACTACTCGTTACAATTTATTTTCGCCCCGCTAACAAAATATCTAGTGAACTCCACAACTTCGCAACAACTAATAAGTTCGCGAACGGAAGCCTGGTAGTATTTATTTCGTTCAATATTCGCCAATCAGCCCGCTATGTTAACAGCAAAGGCTGCTGTTTGGCCAACATGTCTGGCGAAGCTTGATGCGCGCCATCGGTTGAATCCTGGCCAATGGTCCCAGCATTGGGCGGCCTCCTCCCAGTTAAACATTTAACCAAAGGCTAAAACTACGGAGTCTCGGAGAGAACAGCCTCCAGACGAAACGGGAATTGACAAATCTCGGCGGGTTGAAAAAATCCCATAATAGACAGAGGATCCCAAACATTCATTATCAACTCATCGCTAATTTCACTTAAATATTCTACCCTATAGAAACTGGAGGCCCCGGAGGTGAATTAGAATTCCACACCCACCTCGACTAACACCTAACAACAACATAGGTCTAACATCTAACCTTGATTTAAATACTGAACTGCTGCCTATTGCCCCAGACATCTCTTATATTTTGGATGCCTCATCCTTGTCTGTCAAAATCTGAAATCCATTGTGGACCCCGGATGCCTAGAAGTGACATCGTGAAGAATGTTCATGTTAGCAGCAATATCTCGCCTGCATCCCATCTGAGAAAGGACAAGGGAAATCGTGCACCATCTCCGACCATCTCTGACTGATCGCTCTTGTTGGTTAACAATTCTTCTTCTCTGCCATCACTCATCATGCAGCCGGCACTGCAAACAAGCCGTTATTTCTGCCTGTCCTGTGTGTTCCGGTCATATTGATCTCCAACTGTCCCCTCAGCCTTGCGCCTCATAGAGGAAGACCCCTTCCCGTCCTTTCAGAGAACCGTTATTATTCTTCTTCTCCTCAGTATTCGGGTTCGATTATCTTCTGCGACAAATAACCAAAACAAAAAAAAATAAAAATAAAAATAAAAATTAAAATAAAAATTAAAAAAGGGCAGCAGAATGACGTTTCTCGTTAAACCACGCCCGGATGTCTCCCATCGTCTTCGACGCTCAAACACGCCCACCATCAGCACACCGTTCCCTTTCCTGACGTCATATTACGATCAAAGAATCTCCACGCCCGTTCTGAGTTCTCCCTCTGTACCCACGGACCTCGTCAATCCAGATTATTCACAATATTTCCCTTGCCCTGCGCCTCCGCACCCCGGCGCTGCCGTTGTTCAACATACCCAGAACTATTATCTTCCCAACCCTGAACCGCCCCCGCTGGAAGATCACCCCGCCTATCGAGTTACCAACCACACTACGATTAGCAGCAACCGGAACAGCAGGTACAATGACTGCGACAAAAAGGGCCGAAGAAGCCACACCTTTATCCCATATAGCCCTTCGGATTATGACATCTCAAGATTATCTGTTCTGTCCACACCACACCTTCCTCTAACCCCCCCCAACTCTCCGCCCTTGTCGCCATCTCTCTCCCCCGCCTCTTCACACACTCGATCTACTACTTCCGCCTGGGTATCGCCAGGACAACCCGTTCAGCAGCACGGATATTTCCCCAAATGGCATCGTCACCATCTCGTGCAAGACAGAGGCCAGCGTACCTCCGGAGCCTCCACCCATGCTAGCCTCAACAGCGACACCGATCTAGACCACAGTTCTAGTGGATCTGTCGATCTTTCCGACATCCTCTCTGGCAAGCTTAACGATGTTATTACCTCCATTGATGGGCAGGAGTTTAGCGGCATGGAAAGAGATTTGCGTAAGCTCGAAACGAATTTAGTATATTGTCCATATTCCCTTCCATTAACCGATTCCTATACAGGTGTTCAATATAGCCAAACCCAACCGTCACTCCGTGGCGGAGAATCCTCCCTCAGTTCTGGTGGTGCCCGGCCGTTCCGTGCGCGAAAACGCCGCACGAGTCCCCCGTCGAGTATCAACTACTTCTCAAAGGTGTATCACTACGCAAACTCCCGATTACCGGATTGTCTCACGCCTCTACGATTGTAAGTCTTTACCCGTGGCTCCTCTTCAGCAATGCATTTACTGAATTGACCCTTCTCCTTTTGTGTCGTAGGTATATTCCTACATACCCACTCCTCTGTCTAGCAGCCCGCTTCTCGCAACGAGCCTACAGCAAACCCACCGGGGCCGAGCGCGA